CTATTCAAAATGTTATTTCCTACCAGGGTCAATGGGAAATATTTTCTGTGTTTTCAGGCATATGATCTGGGGACATCATTCTGTGATTGGGGCACTAGTGTCACCCATATTAAAGGTTGTTAGCAAGAGACAGCTATCAAGTTAAGACCTTCTAACTGTAAAGTTAGTTCTTGCCCATACCAGGAGCTGTTTCCAAACTGAATCCCCCTCCTTCCTTCTCTATCAAATGGATTTGCCATCACCATAAGTGAGGTTCATGTTGCTTCTAGGCCAGATGGCAGGAATGCCACATGTTACTTAACTGGTAATCTCATTTGACTTGATGTCAAACCACTGGGCTGATAAAATCAATCCTTTTCCCCTCTGACCATCCAAGTTCCATCACATCTTTCCCTGAACCAGAGGCAGGCTGGTCTTCACCTGTCACTTGGCTTATCATGCAGCTCCTTGACCCTGGCAATTCAGCTAAATAATCAGACCCCACCTCTTCTTCCTATTCAGATTCAGAGCCTGAATCCTCCACCCATGGATGCTGTATTTTAAGAGAGGCAGGCCCAACTGCAACAAGTGGTTTCAATGTCGAGGAGTGCTTCTGATCAGCTACTGCTGTTTCATTAGCCAAGCTATTTCCAGACAGGAATAATCTGATGACTTCCCAAAAGACTTAATGGAAAGTCTATTCCAAGTAGGGTTCCTGTTGGAGATGGTCCAGAACCTGTAACTGGTGAAAAATGCCATGGCCTGTAGGATGAGAGGGCAGCAACACAGGAGCAAATTAAACAACCTTAGAAAGGGTCCAAAGGAGGGCCACAAAAATGATCCAGGGTTTGGAAACACTGCCCTATGAGGAGAGACTGAGAGACCTGGGCATGTTCAGTCTTGAAAAGAGAAGACTGAGGGGGACATGATATCCCTCTATAAGTACCTCAAAGGCTGTCACAAGGAGGAAGGTCAAGATCTCTTCTTGCTGATGCCAAAGTGTAGGACATGGAATAATCAATTCACGCTGTGACCACCCAAATTCAGGCTAGATATCAGGAAAAGCTTCCTCACTGTCAGAGCAATACAACAGTGGTACCAGCTGCCTAGAGAGGTGGTGGGCTCTCCCACACAATCATTCAAAAAGAAACTGGACAGCCATCTGAGTGGGATGGTGTAACATGGTGTTCTGCAAAAGTAGCGGGGTTAGACCCAATGGCCTTCATGGCCCCTTCCAACTCTACTATTCTATGATTCTATGTCATTTCTGCACTGGCTGGTAGTGGGCTACTGGAGCCAATTCAAAGTGTTAATAGTAGAATCCAAAGCTTTAAACACCTTAGGACCTGAATGCTTGAAGAACCACCTTCCCCAGTAGTAACTGTGATCTAAGACTGGCTGGAGGGACTAGGTTTGTCAGGCCCTTGAGGAATCTGGCCCATGTGGCAGAGACGTCCCTAAGGAAGGAGGCACCCTAAGGAAGACCCTTCCTGTAGAGATTCAGCTGGACCCTATGCTGTTGCCATCAGGAACCAGTGAAAGATATATTTATATACATAAGGTTTCAAGGATAGAAGCAAGTCTGTTTTTTGGTAGAATCCTGGCAAGCATCCAGCCTGATATAGTGGTGTCTTGCATCTTTACAAACCTTTGCAGCATGCAGTGATCTTGGCCAGACTTTGACAAAGATTCCCTGAAGTCAGAAATTTGAAAGCTATTACCAAAGAATCAAAACTTGGCTTGCTACATTTTAGATCACTGCTAAATAAAATAACTTTTTCCATCTCTGTAAGTTAGTATAACATTTGAGTGCCCCAAATAATCTACTTCAACCCTAAGATAAATCCAGATTTCATTTACATCTGAACCTGTCAAGATTAACCCTAGTACAAAAGCTGCTACTTTCAAGAACTGGAATCAGATATCAGTTATTTCAACCAAGGCTTAACCAATATGTGCTGATATGAAAATTGTTTCCTGGGGGCAAGTCCTTTATTTCTGCTTTTTTGTGCGGGGTAGAGATGTGTGTCTGTTAATACATCCATATTTATTTATTTTTTACAACAAACAAAACACACACATAAAATAGAGGGCAGTACATTTAATGTCTTTCCCCCTTTTACTTTACAAACAAAAATATAGGCTTATAACTCTGACAGAAAAAAATCTGAATCTACATACTTTCTCTCATAAATCAGAATCACTGAGAGGAAATAAATATAAATATGGAAACTTAATATTTTTGAAAGACTTAGGTTTAATACAAACATAGTTTTAACCAGCAACTGCTGGACTCAGTGGCAAAATTCAGATCCACATATGAGGATATAATCCAAGCTTTTCATTTGTGCAGTCATGTGATTTATAATATTTACTAAATTCAAAAGCAGGCTTCTCAAGAAATTTGTGCAAGATTCACTGAGACATTCTTATCATTCTCCTTGTTTGCATAATGGGTTTGAAACATGGTTCAAAATCTAACTTAACCCTTTGACTAGCCATCCTTGTCTTCAAATTGTTGAGCAGCAGTTCCCAAGAGAGAAAGTAGCAATAAAAGACCCACTGAATAATTGGATTCTTTTCACTACTGAGCACTTCAAATTTACAAAGGCATAGAAGTCTCCCACTGCAGTGTTCTCGGGCAGCTTGGCGATCCCCTAAAATGATATAAGAGGTGCAGTTTTCCCTCTACCCAAGTCTCACTAAACAATTTTCTGTCCTTGTACCTAGACCATGAGATCCAAAGAGACCAGGCAACAGAGCAGCAATTTACATCCACAAAGGGGATTTTGATGCACTCTTCTGAATAAGGGGCATTACCATGTTAATAGCTTTTTCACTCTCAGCCTAGGATGCTGAAACTTTTGCAAATGGAGAACAGTTCCGCTTTCCATTTTAACTGTAACAATAGTAGAAGAGCTCCTTAAACTGCATCAAACAGCAGTTGGTAAAATCCCTAACTAACCATCCTCTCCTGCAGTTTTATTAACCATCAGGCCCATGAAACAAAAGAGGGGGAAAACATGCCATTTTAATTCTATCCCCCACCTCCTAATCATCTAGGGACAGCAAGAAGAATTGTCTACAGAGCTGTTAAATTAAACATTTTATCATGTTGTTTTTCTTTCCTATCCTCCACAATAAAAGAGGTTTCAGGTACGTTTTCTAATATCAGTTTGTTTATGGCCTCCTGGTTAACAGAGTTGCGATTGGATTCCCCCCCCCCGCCTCATTTTTCAGACAGCTGTTGTTCTTCACCCGTTCCCACACTCATCCACTTGTTCCCTTGTCACATATTTTGAATGTACTCTCCCCCCGACACTGATTGCTTCACACAATAAAGAATGAATGGAAATGATGCCTCTGCTGTCAAGACGGTGGAACAGAGCCCTTCATTAGCACTAAAATGTTCTTCTGCCACCAGCACAGATACTATCCTATACCTGACACTTCTCAACAAGCTTCCTTTAAAAAAATGGCTCCCCCTTTTATGTAGAGTGTGGCCATCTTTTTAGCTGTCTTAAGTATGGCCTTGTTTGTATTTTACTTTTCTCCCACATGTCTCTGTGTGCAGTGAGATCAGGGGCTTGCATACATTCTCCACACCCATACTCCACTCAGCTCAACAGCTATTGTCAATGAACACAAGATGAAACAATTTTTGATTAGGTATCAGATGATTTAAAAACCACACAGCACAGAGTTTTGAATACTCAAGGTGCAGCACAATACACTGATACTGTCTCTTGGTTGGTTTCCAGCAGCACACAAAAGCAATGACTCCCAGCCAGTCTGCTCCCCTCAGCTTGCATTCAAGGTAATGCCTGAACATGCATTTGAACACGAGAGCTCTCTGACCACTGTGTTGTTCCATAAAGATCTGAAGGGACTGGACTGAATAGTTGGGGGAGATAGAGGCAGAATTTCCTAGTTTGGGTGTCACTCTCATCTTGTGGTAGAAAGGAGTGGGGAACAAGTGTTTGAACCCCAAGACGTACTCCCAAATCTCACCATAGAGAGAGGCAAGCAGGGAAGGAATACACAAACAAGAAGTATATCCTTGTTCACAGCCTTCATAGCCCTCTTTCCACAAGCAGATTAATTTTTGACATTCAGAATAAGTCAGGTTGTTCAAATGTGCAGAAGGAGGGAGCTCTCAGAAAACACATCTGAGAGGTTAATCAAATGCCCAGAAGTCACATATGGTGCAGCCCCCATAGGACAGTTTCATGTCAGAACATTGAAGAGTGAGTGCATGTGCAGGAGAAGGTTTTGTTAGAGCATGGCATGCATTCTACTTCCGCAGTATGGAGGGCTAAAAGATGTGTTTTTTTATTAATTCACTTCACTCTCAGGAAATACCAAGAGAGCTGTATAGGTACACCTCCTCTATGTTCAGCCTCTCTCTCCCCACAAGTATGTTCTAATCAGTTTAACCAGACACATTCCCCAATCTTCCTGAGATTATGAACTTGTCAATCATGTTCAATACAGCCACATGCTAAGTTTAGGGCATCTCACAACATATAGTGCCAAAACAATTACGAGCCAGACTATTTTTTTAGGTTCTGAAGCATCCATACATACAAGAATTCAAAAAAGCCATTAAGACAATAGTCTTGCAAGTTTAATCTGCTCATCTTATGCAAGCAAGGACTTAATGAACTTATACCGAATCCAAGTTTTGTGGAACTAAGAGTAGATGGTTATAGCACCTCATAAGCACTAAATAAGTTTATTGCCAGCTGGCCTATAAAGGCAATTATAGCTGCACAGAGAAGAAAAAAATAAAACAATCTGTTCCAAATATTATATAACAAAAGAATGCCTTTTTTCTCTTTTTTGGCAAAGTGAAGACAGAAATTCACCTCACAGTGAAATATACCATTGTATTGGTGACACAAGAGCAACATTAAAATTTGGGGCATTTACTTCTCTGAACACATATCATCAATCTAGTATGAAACAGTTCAGTAAAAGTTAGGGTTCTATAAACCTACCTTCTTATATTAAGGTCTTACCTTGGAGAACCAAACCGGAATTTTCAATCTTATATCGAAAAGATGTGAATGGTGCAATGGGGGACTTAGCAACTAGAAGCTGCAAAAAAAAAAGACAAAACCCAACAAAAGTTGTTGCAGTACTGATTACACTTCTACTTTACAGAGATTCAACAACTACGAACACAAAAGGGCTAGCATATTTTTCCTCACAGTGGCTCTGTAAAGAGTTTATCCTAACCTAGATACACTTTAATCTATCATAAGTATGCTTCAGTTCTTTAGGTTCCAAGGACTGACTCAGATTTTCCAAAGTTCTACCCTGTTGGAATATATCCTTCCATTTAGTTGCTTATGTACCAAATACTTAGGCATAGAATGTTCCAGATTCCTGGATGAACTATATGCTCACAGAAGGAAAGAAGGGAAATCAGCGATGTCCCCCAGATAAACATTTCCACTTAAGGAGACTCACTTCTACTAACAGTAGTCAAAGCCTGCAGCTGTGTTGGTATGGTTTTCATAGTGCAAAATATTGCATGGTAGGGCAACATGATCACATGCAGCCAGCCCGGATATATATAATTTGCATGTAGAAGCTCCAGAATGGACATTGGTTGTTAAGGGATTTTGAGGTCTTGCTGCTGCCATTCCTCCAAAACACTTTTACAATACAAATTTGAAGCAGATTTCCTCATTTTTGCCTCAGGAAAAAAGGGAAAGGAACTAGAAAGCAATTTCTCAGTCAGTCTGTGGTTTTCACAGCAGCATTTCCAACTTTGCAGCCCTAAGGGCACCATTTAACAAGGCAGCTGATCCAAAGCACATTCTGGTTCTTTTCAGAGCTCTCTTTCAATTAAAGTGATGTCATACCCATTTTACCCCTGCCCAGAAAATACACCAGACCATACTACTTTCATCATTGTTACATCTGCATGTACACTTGGGAAATATTCATCAGGCCTTCAAACAGCACTGCCAGGACCACTCTTCTGCCCCAGATTTCAGTACTCCAGCTGTATACCTTATCATTCTTCCCAATTTCAATTCATGGAGCATTTTGCTAGTTCTCTTTGTTCATTAAATAACCTAGTTCAGATGTAAGAGCTGTGAGTTTATTACTACTTTCCATATCAAGTCTTAAAGATTTATGATTGCAAACCAAAGGGATTGTTGACCCTGAAGTTTACCTGAGCATTACATTGCAACCACACAAAGCCTAGCATATTCAAGATCTGTATGGGCAAGATCTGAAAGCTGCTACAAAAGGAAATACTTGGATAAGATGTCTTGTCTAGGACTGATCTCAGGGGAAATTGATTTCAGTCAGTTTACAGCAGAAGTCAGTTGTTCCCAGGGCTGATTGGCTGCAGCATCTGGAGCAGTCTTCAAGCTCTTTAAAATTGATTTTCCTTTTTTTAAAAAACAGTGATGAATGAATGTTTAAATGAATAAATGCTCATGATGTACATTAAAAATAAAAAGGCAGAGATTCTGCCTGAAGCCTAGGGGAAGGGGGGAGCAGGATAGATGACTCAGATCAGAATTTGAATCATAAATCAGCCTGATTGTTGAATAAGCTGTGACGGCAGGGGAGTCTGGGGTCACTCCACAATTGGTTCAATTGTGGTGGTTTCTACTTAAAGGTATGTCTGTAGGGGTACTTACAAGCAAGCACTTGTCCCAGTTCATATACAACATCTGCTAGCCTGTAGTGTCTTCCTTCACTTGGGAGGTATGGAAGTACATGTAAACACTCAGCAAGCAAGCAGAGGTTTAGTAAATAGCGGCAGTGTTTAGCTGTTTGCTGAGCAGTGCCAGGCCGGCAAAGCCATTTCAAGATGTGATGAGCTTGATGACCTTCCTTAGGTACTACAAATACGAAATGCAAGTACTTTCCCTTCCTTGGCAAGGACGAAGCTTTGTTAAAACATTTAGATAGCTTCAAGTAACAACCACTGGATATTCGCATAATCAGACCTACATTTGAGATGCATCCAAGTTGAACATGGATCTACCCTCCAGATCTTATTGGTCTACAATCCCTATTATCTCTGCTTGGCTGCAGCTGATGGGAGTTGAAGTCCAAAAACATTCCTCACCTTTGATCTAGAAGTATATAACTGCTGCTGCTTTCTATTACTGCCTGAAGCAAGTATCTAAGGCATTTGTGCATAATCACACATTTGCCTCTCAGCTGCTGTCTACAGTCAGAATATTTGCCTTCTAGGTACACATCATACCAGCCACCACCCAGAACTCAATAAACCTCTTGCTATTGTTGCCAACCTGGAGAGAGAAAACAGAAGGTTACCATGCAGGTCACACTATGCAGCTGGCAAGTAGAGGTCACCAGTTCAGTAAAGCCAGAACTCATATATTTAGGTATAGATAAGTGATATTTCTCAGAGCTCAAAGTGCACCTTTACACAGAGGGAAATGAGACCACTGGTTACTATTGGTGACTTAATGATAAATTGTACAACTCATCTCCGCTACCCTCTATACCTGGAGGAACCTTTTAAAAAAGAAACTGAATGTTCCCCATTTTACAATCTCCACCAGAAGAGCACCACAAGGCCTTCTCTCCAGTTATATGTAGAAGGGATGCTTTACTACTGAATATGGGTTTGCAGGAATGCTTTGCAAAGTAGTGTGGGTGTGGCATGCTTTTAAGGATCACTGAAGGATCCAAAGATATGTAGAAGTTCTTTCCTTACTAAACTGCAGCTGAGATTTTAAATTCAAATGTGCAACCATCTGTGGTAAACAGTTTACCTGAAAGCATTGCTTTTTGGAAGCATCATCGTGTCATGTGCCAATGACTGCTGCAATTGCAGTCCTAAACAATGCAACTGTGACAATATTTTGTTACTGGAAATGATGAAAAGAAAAATAGTGTATCTAGTATCCTGTTTTGTGACATATACAGTTACACTATCTGATACGATTCAGATGCCCATGCCCATAGAAATAGGCATTTTATTCAGAGTGCTACAAAGAGAATCAGCAAGTGCTTTTGTATTTTGTCACGAGTGCCTCTGCAGAAAATTGGAAACACCCAAATTCCTTCAAACTGGGTCCAGAGCTGCAATGTATGTCAGTGACACACTTAAATTTAATCGAAAGTAAATGCCACTGCAGAACCTGCTCCTGAAAAAGTATGTGCAGGATCACAGCTGTAAACTACCTTGGAAAGGACCAACTTTTCAGTTCTAGTCAATCAAGCCACAAAGTACACACAGTTCAAGGTGATTTAAACATTAAGAACTGTGTACATAAAATAAATTTAAACTATAGTAAAGAATCATAATGAATAAAAAGTCAAAATAAGAAGTCCTGTTCACTCTAGAGTTATGCTTTAACCAACCTAAGAAAAGGATAAAGCATATGCAGGTAATAAATTTTAATGAACTGAACCTAGCAAATAAATGTAGACTTGTGTGACAACAACATATGAGCTTCTTTCTTTGGTTCTTTAGGTTCTTTGGTTCTCTTTGCTACATTCCAAATCCAAATATCAAATAATATTAAATAATATTAAATGGTGGATTTTCATTATCAGAAAGTACTTCTACTTTCTCCCTGACTATTCTAGCCTCCTTGCACCTGCAATCCTGCTCCTGAGGGACTAATTCCCCCCCCCCCCAACAGTATGTGATAAGGTAGAGAGGGTTGCAATAAGTAAGGAGGATTAGTGAAAATCGGATGTCTTGACTTCTAAGAGTAGAAGTGCTTTCCACTACCACAAAGCCATAACTGGGTACAAGCAATAGAGTTTAAGGAGTCTATTAGAAACATACAAAGTACAGTGGAGATAATCATATTCAGATAGATGGATTATTTGATGTAATATCTCAAACAGTAGCAAGGATTAAAGGCAGAATTTGCAGACACACCTGTATGACCTTAAGGCTTAGAGTTACAACAGAAATCCTGGTGTAGCTGAAGAAGGTTCATTGCACGTCAGTGGAAAATAAGGTTTTAAAGTTTGGGAAATAATTAAGATTTCATAATAGCAATTATGACAACTTCATTGCATTGACTAATACATGGTTAAGTTTGTCAACATGTGCTCTGCAAAGGCATGTCCTGTTCCACTACTATGATATTAATTATCCTTTGACAGCATCAATGAATTTTGGAATGCGGTGAACTGGTAGACATTGTTGGATTTCTAAAAGGCTTGTGACAAAATCTTACATAAAAGACTTCTGAGCAAACTACATATTAATGAAATAAAAGGAGATACTGTCTTCTGGAATTGTAACTGATTAAAGAACAGGAAGCAGAAAGTAGAAATAAATTCTCACAAAGGAGGAATGTAATCAGTGCAGTCCTACAAGGATCAGCATTGGACACAGCACTCTCCAAGGTTCAGAATGCTGCTGTGCACATGACAAGAACACTCCGGTACAACTCCCAGAGATTATGAATGATAACAAAGCCCAGTGGTAGATCTGTGAAGGCCTGGGACTAGGTGCTCTGCTGGAAGACTCATCCACTCTGCAACTGTACTGGTTTCTCACTGACCTAAAAGTAATAGAACACATTTGTTTCCTTTCTGCTGCCTGATTAGCAAGCAGTAGTGGAGGGGATCACATGATTCCTCTTACAAGCTGTGTAAGGACTTTTACAGGGAAAAAAGAAAGGCCTATTCATGGCTTACCAAGTCACTGGAGGTAGGCTAGGAGTCATTGACAGTTTCTTGCTTTTACTTTTTAAATTTTTGTATGGGAAACATGGTGGCTGCTGTGGAAAAAGCTCTGAGTAGTCACACCTGCCATTTTAATTTGCAGGAGTGTCTCTTCAGGCTTTAGATGGGGCTCAGAATACTGCAAGATGGAGAAATTAAGTTGGCAGGCATGTATACAAAACTTTGTTCTACAGGACCATGCCTACTCTGCAAATTTATTTATTATAACAAGAGAAAAAAGATGAAAATAAGTGGCCACTGTAGTTTGTGGTCTCTTCAGCCTTAGTGGTGCCATCAACAAAAGTGCCATCGACTTAAAATCCACAAAATGAACCATTCAATATTCTTAACATGATGTAATCTGCTACAGCAATTTTGAACCACAATTAACATTAATATTAACA